CCCCCCCCCCCCCTCCCCACAATAACAATCTATACAGCAGATATGAAGGTGGGAAAGGTGCCTTAGGGATAATAAGATGTGGATAATGTTACGACCAGTTTTATATAGGGATGCACCGATAATGGTTTTTCGGTATCGAGTACAACTACTGATACTTTGCTCTCGGTACTCGTCGATACCGAGTACCAATACCGGTGCTTCCGCTGGCATGGAGCCGGCTTCCCGGCCAATCAGGAAGCTGGGTCCATGTTGTTTGGCCGTCTCGATTGTGACTGGCCGGGAAAACCAGCTTCCCAGCCAATCAGCATCGAGTCGGCTTTCCGGCCAATCAGGAACCCAGGTGGCGACGAATGACCCGCCTCCAAGCTTCACGATTGGCTGGAAAGCTGGCTTCCCAGCCAAGCAGCATGGAGCCAATTAGGAAGGCAGGATGTGGGTCATTACTCTCCACCTGGCTTCCTGATCACCCGGGAAGCCGGCTCCATGTTCACCTACGCTACTGCCGTGCCGAGAAAATCTTCCTCTGACCAGAAGTTCCGGTATCGGGGAAGGTATCGGAGCATTTGGGCCAGTACGAGTACTCACCCAAATACTCGGTATCGGCACAGATACTAGTATCGGTAGCGGTGCATCCCCAGTATCTATAAAGCAGCTTGTAATTCAGAGGGAGCTCTGGATATGACTCTTGTCACCTACCTCTGGCGGATGGATCGCAGTACCCGGTGGGCGCCCTCTCCCTGGTAGAGCCACGTGTGCTGGCTGTTCCTCACCAAGTCGTTCATGGTGATCTCTCGGTTCCCCAGGTATTTGTGGAAGTCTCCGAGGTTCAGCTTCTTGAACTCATCCAAGCTGAGGACACCTAATCAAGCACAGCACAGAGAAGAGAGGTGACATTCATTGCTGTATGACCACGTGGTGGTGGGGGGGCATCCATATATCTAAAGCGGAATGGTGGCGCTGCCAAAAACAACCAATTAGATTTAGGCTGCCAGTGTAGAGTGGGGAAGGTTAGGACCCCGGTCAAATGATTATTTCTACACCCCCCTACCTTGTTGCTCAAGAAGTAAGGAGGGGGGAGTCTTATTCCCTCGAAATGCGTTAGTTGTATCTGACATTTCCATTTAAATAAACAACCTATCACGACCAGAGAGGCAGCAGCCTAGGACCATAACCATGTCCATACACTACACACACACACTGTTATCATGGGCTACCTCCCTCCAAAAAATACATCTCCCATCTTTTCAGACTTATATCAAAACCGATTCCTCCTCCTACTGGTCCAGCGCGATCACATATCTATCAGCTCCCTAAACTTTTGCAACAAGAGAGGAGAGGAGTTTTCCCAATGGGGACAGCTGGTCCTATGACAAATGTCTAAAGCGAGAGCTTAATTCACTTTTCAAAACACTTCCTGTTGTGTCAGCAGGTCAGGAAGTGGAGGGAAATTCCTGCAATGCGACACATACAGCAAAAAAAAAAAAACTCTCAGGGGGGTTTTAACCCTTTCCTGTAGTGTTCCCTGATGGGAACTGAATCCAGGAACCTAGTGCTGTAAACTTAAAGTACTATCATCTTAGCTACTGTGCCACCCTACAATATGTACCATTTCCATCTGGATCAGCTTTAACTGCCGTGTACATCTCTCGAATATTTTCCGGAGTCATCCATCTTCCGTTCCCCAGGCGGGAATGGGTTAGGACCTGGAAGATAAAGAGAAGACATGAGATAAAGCCGAAGCGGTGTGACTACATAAGATTCCACTGAGCAGCTACTGATTGGCAGCGAGCGTTTCATTCACAACATACAATGTCAGGCCATGTAAGCTGCGGAAACATTCGATTCGGTTCGGGTATTTCGTTATTTCGGGATTCGGATCCGAAATTCAATTCGGTTCAGGTTTCGGACCAAATCCGAATTTTCATTAGTTTCGGATGAGTTTACGAATACCACAGAGAACCAAATACAGATATTAATACTAAAGCTGACGCTCAGAGACCAGAATGGCGTCCGGGATCCGAATTTCCAAATTGCATTGGGGAGCTCCTGAACGCTTATTCGGGTCTGGGAGCCATATACACATATTACTAAAGCTGAGGCTCCCAGACCCCGATGGCACTCAGGAGCTCCCCAATGCAATTCGGAAATTCAGATCCCGAATGCCATTCGGGTCTGGGAGCCTCGGCTTTAGTATTATATGTATATGCTGTATGTAGCTCCCATGTTGCCATGATGAGAATTTGTTTTCAGACCCATTCGGATGCATTAAACCGAAAAACACATCTGATTGGCCAGAAAAGTCACATGTCCGATCCAGTTTAGTTTTTGAACGAAATTCGGACGGGATCCAAAATTCGGAAACAGAAATTTGGATTTGGACGCATTCGGATGCGTCAGAATTTCTGAAAATGTGTACGAATTTTGATTCGGAACCAAACGAATCGCACATGTCCAGAAGAAATACTCACCCAATGCTCGGCCCTGTCCGGCTGCTAAAGCAGTCCCCTCAGCCTCTTCTCCCCCGAACTCCGTCTGTCTAAGAACCCGTGACGTCATCTGTTAGACATGAGGACGCCAAGGGACATACCACAGCCGGAGTGGTGGGGGGGTGAGAGGTGAGCGCTCACTGTCGGAGGACTGAGGATCGGGTGAATATTTCTTTTTTACTCCCACCCATAGACAAAAATGAGCAGTTAACCTTTGCAGTGCAGGGGTAGCCCCACAGCAAGGGTTAACTTTTGAAAATCCTGGAGTTCTTCTTTAACCTTTAGCAAACTGAAGTGTTTACAATGTTATTTCCCACTCATATCTCTTTATTGAGCAGCTTTCCAATACTCTCCAACCAATCTAGACCGCTATTGGACAGTTACAGTCCAATCAGTGGTCGGCCCTGATCTCCTATGACTGTCTATCACTCCTGGACTGATGCAGTCGGGTCAGAATGGTTTCCTCCCAGTTGGGTCCGAATGGTTCCCTCCCAGTCGGGTCCGAATGGTTCCCTCCCAGTCGGGTCAGAATGGTTCCCTCCCAGACGGGTCAGAATGGTCCTCTCCAGGCCGGTCAATATGGTCCTCTCCCAGTCGTGTCAGAATGGTCCTCTCCCAGTCGTGTCAGAATGGTCCTCTCCCAGTCGGGTCAGAATGGTTCCCTCCCAGTCGGGTCAGAATGGTTCCCTCCCAGACGGGTCAGAATGGTTCCCTCCCAGACGGGTCAGAATGGTTCCCTCCCAGACGGGTCAGAATGGTCCCCTCCCAGTCGGGTCAGAATGGTCCCCTCCCAGTCGGGTCAGAATGGTCCCCTCCCAGTCGGGTCAGAATGGTCCCCTCCCAGTCGGGTCAGAATGGTCCCCTCCCAGTCGGGTCAGAATGGTCCCCTCCCAGTCGGGTCAGAATGGTCCCCTCCCAGTCGGGTCAGAATGGTCCCCTCCCAGTCGGGTCAGAATGGTTCCTTACCAGTCGGGTCAGAATGGTTCCCGCCCAGTCGGGTCAGAATGGTTCCCGCCCAGTCGGGTCAGAATGGTTCCCGCCCAGTCGGGTCACAATGGTTCCCTCCCAGTCGGGTCAGAATGATCCCCTCCGAGTTGGGTCAGAATGGTCCTCTCCCAGTCGGGTCAGAATGGTTCGGACAACTCATGGATTTGGTGTTTGCTGATCTCTATTGACCTCTTTGAGCTCCAGCTGTCCGTCCTGATTGTGGTCCAGCAGGTTGAAGATGTCCGTCTTGCTGATCTCCAGGCTCTCCATGGCTTCCTTGTAGCCATTGATGGGCAGAATCTGGCTGGCCTGGAGACCTTTAAGCTGGGCCAGGTGAATCAGAAGCTTGCACTCTTGCTCGGTCAGGAAGTTGGGGATTTCTGCAACAAAACAATACACAGCTCATTAGATCCGATTGCCCACCATAAGGAAACGACCCAAATATAAGTGACAAAGACAGTAGTTAGCATGCTGGCCTGGCAGCACTGGACTCCCGGGTTTAAAGGCCAACTCCAGCCAAAAGGGTGTCTTTTCTTTGCATAGAGCGGGGAAGGGTTAGAGCCTTCATGAAAAGTTTATCGAGAGCAACAGACCAAAAAGAAAAACTAACTGCTTTTAGGCGCTCTTCAATATCTATCTTCCAAAAAAATTTATTGTGGTGACTGTGATATGTTTGAGTCCTCCCAACTGTACATCGTCTTGAGTATGCCCCCTTTTAGGCATATTGTCCTATGCGGCCAAGTCACACCTCAGGTCGTGGTACATAGGTTGTCATGCATGTTCGTGTCTAGACTCTGACCACAAATATATATATTATATACAATGATCAGCCATACCATTATGACCATTGAGAGGTGAAGTGAATTGCTGTGCAGTGTGATGCTTTGAGCAATGTTCTGCTGGGAAACTTTGGGTCCTGCTATTCATGTGGATGTTACTTTGACACGTACCACCTACAGTGCCAAAATATTATTGCTGACCAAGTACACCCCTTCATGGAGATGGTATTCCCTGATAGCAGTGGCCTCTTGCAGAAGGATAATGCGCCCTGCCACGCTGCAAAAATGGTTGAAGAATGGTTTGAGGAACACAACAACAAATATGAAGTGTTGACTTGGCCTCCAAATTCTCCAGATCTCAATCCAATCGGGCATCTGTGGGATGTGCTGGGAAAACAAGTCTGATCCATGGATCTTACACCTAGCAACTTACAGAACTTAAAGGATCTGTTACTGACGGCTTGGTGCCAGATACCACATCATACCCATGGTACACCAAAAAGACCAGCGGCCACCCACGGCCCTGATGTCTTAGGTTTTGCCGTTGCTGCCTAGTCTAGTCTAGAGGTCTAGAGAAGTCTATGCCTCGATGGGTCAGGAAAAGTGAGACCTACTCAATATTAGACAGGCGGTCATAATGTTATGGCTGATCGGTGCATATATTGGCAGTATTTCCCACTGTTGAGCAGACTTCCTCTCCAGTATTCCTTTAAAGGAGAACTATGGGGTTAAGTCTTTTCCCCATAGTTCTCCTTATGGTAACGGGAGGACACAAACTAGCGTCCTCCCGTCACCCTAAGCTCAGTATACCGCGAGCTGTAGCTTGCGGTATACTGAGACGCCGCAGCTGAAGCGGATCCCGACAATTGTGCCGGGATCCGCCCAGCTGCGTGACTGACAGCTGGCTCTGCCTATCTAAAGGCAGAGCCAGCTGTGCCCGCCCTCTCCCCCGTCCGTTCTGCCAGTCAGCGCTGGCGGATCGGAGCTGGGAGGGGGGAATCTAGCCCCTCCCCCTGTCACGGCAGAGAGCCGTGACAGGATTGAGAGGTGAGCGAACGCCGGTATGTGTTCGCTCACCTCCCGATCTACTGAGCCGACCTGTGACAGTCTCATTGTCACAGGTCGGCTAGAACTATGAGGTGAGTGGAAAGCACTCACCTCATAGTTCTCCTTTAAGTGACATTTTGTTGCCAATTTTTGTCCAACGTGGTAACTTACATAGAGCGATCCATCAAAGGGACAGACCCTCCCCCACCTCTGTACATGAGCAGAGTTATACATAACTAGGTGTCATTATTTTAGTAGCTCACACATGACGCATACAATGTGATTTTTAAGCTATAGCGTTCCCTTAACTTTTTTTATTTCCCCACTTTAAAACAAAGTCCTTTGCAAGTGACACTCTGATTAACCGTTCAGTAAATAAGAGCCTAACAACTGCAAATGGATGCAATCCAGAGCCGATTGTTACAGGAGGAAAAAAACATTTAAGGAAAACACTGTCAAGTCAATGTTTAGTTTGAGAATACCCAGGGCTAGATAAACAGCCCTTTACCTAATCGCCCCTGTCAATAAAAACGATTGTTTTCCAGCCTGACACAAAATAACAAGAGGAGGATATTC